TTTTTTCTCAGAAGTTTTGTCGAGTTTTCAGAAGTTAAATGGCAGTAGTTAAGAAAACACTTGGCATCGAACACAAACCTCATACTCAGCACAACTGTACTCCCCGCCTATACGAAGTCATGTCTTTTCGCTGAATCACAGAGATATGTGTTTACCTTATCAGACCTCTATCCGCATGGTGCTAACAACTTCGTTTCTGGTCATTTTTCTATGCCTTTAAGGGAGTGCGTTTGACTCGCTTCTTCAAAGCTTTATTGCGGCCGGAAACAGCATATGCCATACCCTTTTGGAACCATCTATTAACTAGCTTAACTATCTAACTATTCATCTCTTTGATGGAAGGCAGGCAACAGAGGGGTGCAAGTTCGAGAGAGGAGCGATATTCCACTGCTCTGCTCAGGCTATGCTCAGGAAGAGAACAACTACACTTGACTTTGGATGCGCGAGTATAATGGAGACAAAGGAATAGCTAGTGTCATGAGTCATTTTCAGGGTGTTTCGGTTAATGGAGTCAGAAGAAAAGGCCTATGGACAACAGAACCCAGTCTCTCTCAACTAGATGCTAAATGAATCACTGTCATTTTCTTATTTTCAAACACTCTCAATTATTTTGCGGCTGGATTTTGTTCAAACTCGAGTTCAATGATGAGTGTTATTTTACACGATGAATTTCCATGCATTTACTGTTCTTCAATAAGGTTCAGATCATTGGGATTTGAAGGAAAGTTATGGCAAAAACGATTTACTTGCGAAAAGATGCAATAATATATGATACTTGTATCGCGTGGATAAGAACACATTGACAAGAAGAGGTAGTGTGTTGAGAAAGTTCAGACCAAGCTTAGTCTCCAGACTCATCACAGTCTCTGCTTCCTTGAAAAATACGCACGCTACAGGAATAGCCGACATAAACAAAAATTAGACCCATTCACGTTTCGACAAGATGCAAGACACTCGGATGCAACACTAACTAATGCAGGTAGGGTACGGTATATGTGCAAACTAGTTGAAGAACAGATACCTTCCAGAGGGGTGACGCTGCTGCAAACGTCTTCATCTAATGGTCAGGTGTTTGAAATACTTTTGTGATTTAGCGGGTTCTAATTCTGAATGCCTTACTCAGAACAAGTTGTTCCCTAGCAGCCGCCATTCTTCCTTTGATCTGCAAATACTTTAATAATTTAGCTTGATCACATTTACTTGTCAGATCAAAGGTTTGTGGGGAGAGGCGTATAAGGACAAAAAGGGTCGCCTACACATGTACTGGGCTTTGACGAAGGTACCGTAAGCCCGCAGCGATACCACGTAAAAGACATCCACAACTTGCCCATAAGGGTAATTTGATATGCTGATCACGAAAACGACATTCATTTTCAGCGGTGGCGCTGGTTGGCGCCACCTTGTCACGACCCTTGTTTTCGCCAAAATCGGTGTAAACTTCTATAGGGGTTATTTGGGACCCTGATTACGAATATGACATTCGTTTTTGGCATTAGCGTTGCAACACATAGTTCGTGGTTGGAGGGTGCAGACGAACAGAAAATAGGCGTACTGCCAGCGCCTTGATCTACAATTCAGAAAATTCATATGCTATTCTTAGCAAACTACACAGGTGGTATTTTTTGTGTAAGCTTCGTCGAATATAACGAGTAGGCCAGAGCCACAACGGCGGAATTTGCTTTTTCTGAATGAATTTCTTTTCTTTCTTCCTATAGATCCCCGCCCCTCATCCCATCGTACATGTGGAATAGTTAGAAGTGTACCATAGGCCGATGTCGGAATTTGCGAATTGCGCGATTCGCAAGCTCTGACATCGGCTATAAGGATGTATGCCTAGAAATTGTGTCAAAGAAAGCCAGGTGTGAAGCTTCAGTGGCAAACGGTGAACTAAGTGCAACATTCTTTAGCTTCAAATCTGAAATTAGTACCGCTCCGAAAGCGCTACCCACCAATCTGTTGCAAGTGATAGTTCTTTTTAACTTGTTAAGCGACGTGCTGTTTGCCTAGGTAATGCATAAATAGAAATATAGTGTTCATGAGTATAATGCCAGCTGTCGAGTCGAAGTCCGATCAAGCTTGTTCATATTTCTTGACTCTTCCATGTTCTGTGACCCACATGCAAGCAAGGTGATGTCTGACGGGTTTTTTCGTCATTATTCGTTTCTAAAAGCGGAAGGGCGGAAGTGGTGTAGTGGCAAGTGGCACGCTTACCACGCGAGCGGTCCGGGGATCAAATCCTGGGTCGTGAGTCGCCCGGGCCAACCAAGCCTTCCATCCCTCCGGGGTCGGTTAATTGGTACCAGACTTGTCTGGGAGGATAAAAACACTGACTTGTACATCGGCCCCGCAAGTCATTGTATAGGCCACATCGCATTCAAACGCCACTACGAATGTACAAATGGAAGTAGAATGCGTGCCGCATCCCAAAAGGGATTGATCAACGGCAAATGCTTTAGCCTCCTTTTGCGCCATAGTCACCAGAATTTATCAAAGTCCTGTCTTTTAGGGAAACCAGCGCAAACTCATTCTTTCACCTTTCGGCACCAACGCTTCCTGTGTGATAACTAGTTGCAGTGTACAAAGTTGCATGCATGGAAATTCATCTCAAGAAACAAATCTTCGAGAATCGTACACTGTGGACAGTCCACGGACACCTTAACGGAGCCAAGGGGACCTGCAGAACAAAGTTCTCGCTGTCGTGGTCATGCACCAGTTGGTGCTTCCCACGAAATGAGTGGATGCAACCTTTTGAATCCGCAGATTGGGAAGGAAAATGTTCATCGCGATAGATAAGAGTGTAGAAGGAGTATGAATTGTCCTAGCATAGATGATCTCTTGGGGTGAAGACACAAAAATCTTTAAAAAAAAATTTGTGTCTTCACCCCGAGAGATAAAACGAACTTATGGCAGTTTACTGGTGTTATTCTGATCGTGAGCTAGAATAGAAATGAGCCTCTGTGCAACCACAAAGGCTCTTTTCTGACAGCCTATTATTCGCTTTTCCAAAACTTGCTCAGCACGGTCAGCAGTTGCTATCTGTCGCGCATTGGCGAATAAGTTGTATCTGGCTGCTTGTCTATTGTCTCAAGCTGCAGCACCATTTTTTTGAAATTTTCAAAGTCCTCGTGCTCTAATCCTGGGTCAGAAGTACTCGATTCTCGTTGTTAAAAACCGCTCCATTCTTATTTCTTTGTCAATTTGTAATGAAAACAATCGCTGCCTGCGTGATGACAACACTCAGAGCAATAGAACTGATTTCATTCCTCCGCACTTGTATTCAGCTTGCCACGTTTACCAGTGAGGGCTAATCCGATTAAAAATATGCACGAACCTGTAAATCTATCAGATAAGTGTGCGGTTATACACAAATGCAAATGCAAACGAAACGAGTAGATAGACATTCATCGAGCAACTTGGCGAGTGGTTCCAGTTGGTCTTGTGCTGCACTTTTGTGCGTTTAAACATGCAACAAAGGAGCTCTTCAAATATAAAGCAAAGGTCGATTTTTAAAGATCTGAAGATCGCTGAAGTCTCCGAGCAATAGCTCACTCGAAAAAAATGTGACTTCCCGACAATTTCAGCAGGATCTTGGTGAAATCAGTACTCTGAGGCTTGCTCTGAGTACACAATTTCATCGAGACTCGGATTAGGTCTTAATTTGGGAATTCCTCAAATTTTACATATTGATCCGCAATCAATTTTGAGAGTAACAATTTGCAAGCAAGTGTGATAGGGCTTCCTCTTTCATTCGGAAACTATTCTGTGGATTGATTGCTTGCCTGTGTAGTATTTTCAGCGGTCAATTCAGCCAAGGTCTAAAATTTGACGGATTGTAGGTGAATATTCCCTCTGCGAAATTAGACGACCAAAACATACACGGTTCCTGAATAGACACGATACATATTATATAGTGCGCAACAATCAAAAAACCGAATCAAAATTAAAAGCGTCGCTTTGTATACCTAGCGTATGACCTTTAAAGAAGGTCCAGTGGTTAAGCGGCAATACAAAAACGACGAAGGAGTTTGGAATCTCACTCAAGCCTTTAGGAATGACTAATAGCTCTATATGGCTGGAGCTATCGCTGTAGAAACGGCCAACGAACAACGGATAAAATCAATGACGGGTCGAAACCGAGCATTTGTAAAATAAAAATTCAAGGAACTCTTTAAAGAATGAGCAAAACACTAAAAATGAGCATGATCAAACAAGAGGAGCTGAAAGTTGAAGCGATCAAAACGGCTATTTTTAAAAATAATGAGCGTGCAGAAAGAAGTACAGGATAGTCACAGATCACAGTAACAAGATTAAGCTTCACGAGAAATCTGCACAACTAGAAAAAGTCAAGTGGAAAACAAAAACATGTTCACTGGTGCGCAATAATCGCGAAACCACATGATCCTTCCGAGTAGCCACTATCTGCTCTAACAAGGATTGGGGTTCTCCAGTGAACAAGCTGACCGCAGCGTGTTGATAGGCGACCTCAAGTGCGTTCCGGGCATAATGAAGCGGTTTCTTGAACCCAATAATGTCTCGATGATGACGCAGGTGCTCATCTTCACCACTGTTTGTATAGCGTGGACCAGCACATTTGAGTTGGGAGTTCCAGGTGCCCTCCTTCAAACGCAATAGTCTCTGTGCAATCAGCCTGAATGAACTTCGCACAAATTTCCTCGTGTGAATACTTCCCGAGACGTGGACCTGATCGCTAACACGGCAGGCTTAACACCTTCTCAGATTTGCTAGAGTCCATCGCTGCTTCGCGCTCATTTTCAGCGTTCTTAATTAAAAATAGAGACTTCTCTTAAACGCTCAATACAATCCTTCCTAGCCATCAGTCGATTGGTCTTCGCAGAGGTGGTTGTTGCAGGTTTCCTAAAGTTCCTGATTTGCTTTGCAGCGTAATACCACGTTTTCACCATGACACCATGACGAAGGAGTTTTTATCTTATAAAGAGCTGAAGGCTTGAACAATCCAAAGAAAATAAATTTTAAGTGATAACATCCTACTATATATACAATTCGCTAAGTATGTCTGTGCGCGTATATGTGGGTGTGTGTACGTGGTTTGTCACGAAATTCATAGCGCGCTTCGCTGCAGCCATGGAGCGCTGTATTTTGAGTATGATGTAGCGGTAGGACGGGAACATGTCTGATGGGGACCAGAAAGTGATAATAGCCGATAGGGGCTAAAACAGCGTCCGAAGGCATGTGTTACTGTTCTTATTCAGATGTGGGATAAGGAAAGTATTCTATTCCTTCGCGATGTAGTCGTGATCCATTCGACCGCTAATCTGCCCGAGCTTCTTGAATGGTCGGCGTCTGTGGAAATACGATAACTATTGGTATTTCTATCTCATCACCGGCATAAGAAGTTATTCGACCGCTAAACCATCCCAACATCCAAAGCATGGTAGATGTTTACGCTGAGGGCTGATAATAAGCAGCCCAAGTAATTGTATTAGTTATCCAAAGGTCATTCGGCTGCTAGACTTTGTTAGTTCCAGAAAAATGATGGATGTTTATTGGTATTGATGAACTATGAGAAATTACTGCTTTATCATCTGATTTCCTTAATACCATCAGTCGAAATCATTGAAAGCAGTATGTTACTCAATACAACAGCCCGGCTATACTCAGTCTTCACTGAAGCCTATGTTGACATGCGCGCGATAGCGGCGGACAAATCCAGTTGATGAATAAATACCGTGTTAATAGAACCAAGTGCGCAAAAACTGCTCTCAAAATTCCATCCGTTCAATTTGAAATTTTATGCGGAACGCTCTTGTTCCAGTAATTTGTGGGCACCCTGTTATTTGATCTAGGGATTGGCTTGGAATTAATAATCTGTAATCATTTCTCGTAGATCGTAGAGCTAAATCCGATTACTTTTTGCTATTGATTTCTTTCGAATTTTTTGTTCCTTCAAATTACGGAAGCGATTTTAGCGGCTGTGGCGGTGTGGAGACCAGCTTTTTCCACTGCTTTTCGTTCAGAGACCACTAATAAACGTCTCCTCAATTTTCGTGCAGTTCTTCTTTTTAAAAAACCCTTCGAGAAACGGCAGACGCTTTATTAATCACTTTACAATTGTAGATTTGTTGAGAACAGAAACGGAGGCAAGGGATTTGCTGCGATGTCTTCTACAGCGGAAAAAGTTGGCAATATCCTGGCGAAGGTCTGCTGACAACATCACTAGACTAGCAGGTGGAACACACACCATTACGTCGTTGATCCAGAAAAACTGAAAAATACATATTGAAGAATCTTTGGAGGCACTTTAGTGAACGGAACTCTTCTGACGTTACGGTAAATTTGGAACCTAAAAACCTGAGTGGGTTTCTTGGAATGAAATGATCATTCTCAGCTTACTAGCTACTTCTACACAGTTGATTCATCATCTCATCCCTTCGCGAAGCTGTAGATGGAGGAGGACAAAATTGTGAAATTGCCCCCGTAGGTGTTCCTTCGTTTTCTTTTTCTTTGCAGGAATTGATCAACTCAATCCATGCTAATTTACCAATGCTTGCCTAAATAACTTGTGTTGACTTGCCCAGTGAGTTCGAATAAGCAGAGTCTGCAAAGGACTGATGGTGGTACCCGTAGTGCACGCGCCAGACCTTCGTTATGCAAGCAGGTGCGATAATTGTGTTCAACAGAGTAAAATACCCCTCATTTTTGAACCAGATTCGGGATTGTGACCTCAAGTCGAAAATGTGAAGTGCCACTCTGAAGGTTAGTTAATAGGTCACTGTCGTCCTTTAATAACCTCTCTGCCCTATGGTTAATAGCCGGAGTTAACTTAAACGACTGCCTGCCCACTTTCTTGCAACAGGATCCAAATCTCAGATTCGACTTGAAGGCGACCCTCAGAGGTTGCGTGTGTGCCTCATTTATTGAGTCCTTAACCGCCAGTTTTCTAGCAAGTCATTAAGTCCCTCAAGTTTCAAAATTGAATGGTTTTTCAGACAGGGGTTAGGTACAATTATGCAAATTAATAATTCGTTTCTAGAAAAATTCAAACCGTAGCCTTGCCAATATAAACTACCACCACTTTCATTCCACTGCTGCTGACAGTATACTAAGTGCCAGGGTCTCTCCTTCATATAAACTCTTCGAAGAACCGAACTATCTTCGAAGAACTCGTTTGCAAGCACGAATTCGAGATGAGCGGAGTTCAGCGCGAATGCTATCCTACTCAGCAAAGTTCTGGCCATCATCTGTCACTTTTTCGGGGTTCCGGTGGTATCCTCAAAGGAAAATGTTTCAAACACAACCCGATGCTAAAACGACCTTTCCTCAGTTCATCGCCTCCAGAGCTCCAGCATTCCAAACAAACGTACCCACTGAAACGGCATCTTATAGCGGAAGGTTAGCGCATTCGAACGGTTTTTATAAAACTTGAAAGGTTTGCTTCAAGCCGAAATACATACATTTGAAACACGGGGTAGAAAAACTACAGAACTTCCTGAAACACCTAATACTACATATTTAGCACAAACCGCACTCAACTTGCAGCTAAGAGTCGAACGGAAGCGTATTCCGTCGCGCATCTCAAAGGGGGTTCAATAATGCCGAATAGTTTACGCACAGGCATTTATGGGTGATTCACTATTTTCCTAACAAAATCGTAGTTCGCTAAAATATAATAAATCGAAACGCACTTGCATGGTCGCCCATAAATCGAGGTCTGTGTTGTTGGAGAGAGTTGCAATTGCTTTCAAGACTTGCTGCAAGCACATCATCATGGTAGAGACGAACACAAGCGCTGTGTAGAACAGTAGACCCTGAAGTAGCCCACATCTGTGATTCTAATACCACCAGCCATTTTAGACTTTGATCGGCATCAGCTGATAGGCCATTCACCATACGCCGAAATCGGAGATCGGGTGTCTAGTTCGGAGCATTAGACAAATTTATTGCTTACAACAAGGCTATGTTACATCGTCTATATTGACAGCTTCCTTATACTCGTACCTTGTCGAAGAGATGGTCCATCGATTAAAGTGCAGTTAAAATAGAAAGAGGTCAAAAGCACATTCCAGGAAAGGCTCAAAAGTGCTCTGACTCGCTAAAAGTGCAAACATGCAATTTTGCTCACCAGCACAGGAAAAAAATGGAAGCCTCTCATCAACGTCGTTGCAGTAGCTGATAGAAAATACCAATGAACAGTTTGAGAGCTGGGAGCCAAACCGTAAAGTGGGAGTTTAGTCATCTCTTGATTGTGCACATTATATCAAATGCATTGGTATCACCTGTTTCCCTTGACAGGCTCATGTTTGCTGATGGAATTCTTCGCTTCTGAAGTAGCCCTTGCTGCAGATTAACCTACACTTAAGGAGTTGATTACTTTCAAAGGACGAAATCACTCAAACCAAAGTGACAGTATACATTTTTCTGCTCTAGAAGAACAGAAATCGTTCATTTCTGCAGCGACAAAAGAGGTAGAGAACAATTAACATATTGCTGACCTGACCCGCAGTGGTGATTACTATTACATCGTGCGATGTGCATTCAACCAACCTTTTCATGGCCACTGATTCTAGAGTTGCCGCTGAATTTTGTTAATCTTCGCCATTCAACGAAGAGCCTGGTGTTGAAACAGACACTTGCCACAGAATAAGCAAGGGCGGCTCCGCAGTAAATATACCTGTTCCTCTGAATAATCATAATCGATGTAATATAATCGTTTCCCGTCGAAGAGCACGTTCACTATCCTAGCGCTGGTTTTCAAAAGTCCTTGAGCTAGCCAAAGAGCTGATTAGGCTTATGTTTAGTTTGTCATCTAAACTTATTGCTGCTAAGCTCTTTGTTTCGCTTCGAAACACGCTGCCGGCTTCCCGCGCTGCCTCGCGCTGCTCAATAACACAGATCACATCGTGATGCCCTATCCCCGGCCTCGAATCATTTGCAAGGAGCAATACTTTTGAATTTTCCTAATACAGGCAAGAAGTGCTCAACTTCTTTATACATGCCTCAAACTTATGACCTCAAACTTATGAAAGAAAGGATTCAATAACAGCTGAATTAGTATAGCCTCGACCCATATGAAGCTTTTTGATATAGCGAATATTTCCGCAATTAATCTTCGAACCTTTCAATCGTGGTGCGAATCTTGTTCATATTTGTGCAGAGCTTTTCAACAGGATGCGGACGTAGATGCTTTTAAGGAGGCACCCTTAGACTTTTTGTTTTGCGTTATCTTCTTTGAGTGTCCGTCGTGTCAGCCCTCACTCGCTCATGCTCTTGCAACAAACTAAAAATGAGTTTTCCACTTACTTTTTGTTTTGTAATTCAAGATATCATAGATAGCGATTGATAAATGTTCTCGCGTCCCCCATATTTGATCGCAATACACGCTCCAGAAAGTACCTATACGTGACAGTAGCCCCACACGTCTATTACGTAAAGACCTGGCAACTGAGTCCAAATATAGTTTCCCCGATAAATCAAACCAGCGCCCATACAATGACTGTTATAGCTTAAAAACACTGACTACAAAATTCTCTGTCAGAGTCATGGTAGCTTACCCAGCTCACACTGATATCAATTCCAGCATAGATGTAGGCTCCATTGCTATCTTGTTTGTACAGCAATGTCACTCCTATCATGTGCGTGAAAGCGGGCAAATACTACTACAATACTGCAGCCACTATCAGATCCACATGCATTCTTCGGCAGACCCTAATCTATCACCATATGTATGTGTAAACATCGCAATCAATATATATTTTAGTCATCACCCTTAACTAACCTTGTCATAACTTCTTCAGAGCAAAGCGCTGTAATCGATTGATGGGAGAACATGTTTTCTTCGATCAATGTGCTGAGAAACGTGTCCATACTGACTAAATTTATAACAAAAGAAACAAGTGTCTTGAATTCCGGACCCAGACCAAGTTGACGATTCAGTCGGTTGAAGCAGCTTGCGAATATGGCGAATAGATCAGCGACTCCTATACAGAGAAAGACGGTGCCACACCATATCACACCATATGTTTTCCTAATGATGTCGCTTTACTTGTACTTTATTTACTTTATTTTTACTTATCTCTAGGATTTTAAGGCATTATAGCCTCCAGTCGTCTAATGACACTCGCAATATTCGCTCATTCCGCTGCCATTCAATAGTCAAGTGGATACAGATTTCGCCGTCAATGCCTCACAGGCATATCTTGTCACAAAGATCTCGACGCCTAACTATCGTAGCCCTTTTCAGATAAAGTGTGCGCCCAGCGCTCGGTAAAGGGAGGGGGTGCTTTCGCATGGATGTCATTGGCAACAACACGGTCTGATTGTTATTAGTCCCAGTGTCAGGTTGTGTATTGAGAGAATTGTTAGCTTCGAAATTAGGCGCCAAACAGCGAATACTTCTTGATCGACCCAATATTTGCATCACACCCTTACTTGCGACTTGTGTAACGTTTGACTTTTCGCGACATCTCAATGGGCCTTGCAGAAGTCAAATTTGTCTGTCTTCCATTAGGTATATGTGCATCCATTACCCGTCTTGCCAGCACACTTCACTAAAAATATCGACATGGTCTTGAAAACGCTTGTAGGAAAATGACGTTCTAAATCAAGAATGGAGTTCATTAGCCTTTAGTTCAATATATTACCTTGTGGATAACCCCACATCACAAATGAGCATTCAATCAAAGGTGTTCCATTCGTTACCTGTTGCGACAAATATCACGTAAAACGCAGTTTTCAAGACCTTCACTCTGGACGTTATAATGATGAATAAAACAAAAGCGTAAGAGCATACAAGCACGCTTTCGATCAAAGTGTGTAACACGTTATGCTCCATCTTTTCTCTCCACTAAAAAAAAGCTTGATGAGCCGCACACGACACAAAGTAGTGACACAAATCATTGCTGCTTAATTCACCTGTCTCCTTGTTGTTAAGCGCAACTGTAAACGGTTAACTCCTCCACTAGAACCCTAATTGAAGACTGTTGTGGCGAAATACCGTGCCAAAAATATAAGTGGGAAAAGATTATAATGAGAAACCAATAACAGAGTTATTGCGGTACGCTAGAAAGAGAACGATCTACTCCAACCTCAAAAGGACTAATTAAGTGATGACTACACTGGCTACTACACAACAGTTTCCGCTTTCAGACGAAGAAATGAAACGTGCTTAGCAGAAGAAAATTCTGGCAAATAATTGCTTTTTTTGAAGCACATGATGGCATAAGTCTGCTGCGGTAAACTCTTTCGGGGGGGGGGGGCGCTTCCTGCTATCTTATCGAGAGTACTAGAGAGCGCTCCTTTCGGCTTCAACACTATGGATCAGATAACAGGTAAACTACTCATACAAGTGCATACATTTGATGAGAAGCGGTGTATGCCCTACACATATCGCTCACATCCTGCTCACATCCTAGGCAATTTATGCCAGGTCGTCCACACTGGGGCTCCTACAACCTTTTGCCTAAAAAGGAAGTTCATATACTAATTTCAGGTCACGGTCATTTTCTTAGAACACCTGAGGCCGAAATCTGGAAGCACCCCAGGAGTACTTCCACACTACACTGGTCTTATCAAAACATCAAAATAACGTTAAACGAATCGATTACGTGTCATTAATATTTTTTTCTTAATCCTTAGTTCGACAAAGTCCAATAAGGCCCCCCCTCCCTCTAAACTATTCATACAGTCTCTGTCCTCATGAGAGCGGTAACTACAAAAGTTACACAAAGTCAAGTGCTAAAGTTACAGGAGCTACGACGCAGCCAAAAACTAAACCTACATTCATAATTGACAAACAGGCCACTATCCTCAAGACAGCAAAGTCTCCAGAATAGTTCAATCAGCATTCAGGAATGCATCGTCGACTTAATCCGTTAGTCACATATTCAAGATATGTTTGAAACTTTGTTTATATCTAGCCCTCCTATGTTATGCCACAACCGATTTGTGAAGCAATTAGTACTGATTTATTTGCTGAAAAAGGAAAACATTTGCCTACACATCATACAAGACTAATGCGCTATTGGTAAAGTTAAGGAGCAATTTTTTTTCAGAGAAAAAAATGCTAGATGTCACATTTTAAGAACTATTAACATACTTACTACTACTTAGTTACTTAGTTACTTTTACTTAATACTTAGTTTATACTTTTGACTGTGAGCTAGGAGCACATCAATTCATACTGAGCAAATACTGTGATCAAGCTATGATGGGTTTTCTTTGGTCAATAAGTGGATCAATACAAAGGGCACATGGGAGGCGAAACATTAGCTGCGGTGTAACGCTTTAGCCACTTATCCTACAAGAAGCCAAACCAACAAATGGGGATTTGATTTTTTCACGCACAGTCTGACCAAGTTCCTAGATAAAAAAGTGTTGCATAGGGGCGCGTTCAAAGCATGAACCAGGGTGAATATCGGCCGAAGAAATCCTCGACAGGGTCGTACCTGTCGGGCTGGGTCATGGGGGTCGTACTCTTGGGGTCAGTAACAGAAGTGGTATCATGGTGCAGATAGGTAATAGGGTATAGCGCAGCAGAAAATGAAAACATCCGAAAAAACATGATATTAAATTTTCTTTGCAGGTTCAGTCGCTCCATTCCTCCACCTTCATGAGAAGGGCGTATTTGAAGGCAGTACAAAGAATGAAAGTGCATCCCCGCAAAGAAGACTGCCACATGTGCGCACGCGCTGCAAAGGCACCTCCTCTGCCTATCGCTCGCTCCTTCTCCCTTAATACCTCGCTGAGAATGACACTGTTGTTAGGGACCCTGTCGGAAAAACGACAACCGTGAAGAAAAAGCGCTGGCAAATGAAGTTTTTGCACCTTGTACGAGTTACGCAAATTGGTACTACAATGCAGCTTCTGTCAACTGGTCATGATCATATGACACCTTCGAATCGATTCTGCAACTTCGAGTGAGGTCGGATGCATGGCCTATACTCAGACAAAATTCGATGATGACGATTGCCCCTTTTCCTATTGCTTATGTTGGGAGGATGTTTTCTAGACCCATTTCAAGCGTTGCCAACAATTACACTTGCAATGGTGAAGGAGGGAGCGGATTTTCAGGTGGCCGGATCCGTCCTCGATACATACTCGACGCAGATATCTTCTCAACTAGGAAATGTAGAAGAAAGCTAAGAAGACCATCAGAAAGCGCAAACCTTCCGCTTTCCAAAACTATCTTCACTTTTTCAGGATCTCACGTTTTAAGAGAGATATTGCTCTTGAAGTGGCAAAAACTCGCGTGAAAATTTCAGCGTCCTCGACGTTTACTCGACGAAATTTGAGAGACCCTATCTTTCTGCATGGAAGACTTTCAGAGCAATTTCAATACTTCTTGGAAACGCGAAATCCAGCTCTATCTAACCCTACCTCAAACTGCTTCAAAGGTTATGAAATGGAGGAATGCAACCTTTTCATCGAGGGTGTAGATTTCGACGGTTTTTTTCGGGATTTCAGCAAATCTGACCCAGTGACAATCGCGCCGCAGCTGCCGTTGAATCGGCCGTTGATTGATACACTCGGCTGTTTTGATATACTCAAGCAGGAATTAAGATTAAATCGCAACCCCGTGCCTTCAGGATTTCTGTGCATTTCTGAACGAACCTGACTTTGAGGTCACACAAAGTTAATGCCTCTTTCCTCGAGTCGATATTTCAGTAAATACACAAAAGTGTGCAGCGATGAAAGACAGTGCATAGATGACAAGATGAGGCGTCAATAACATTATTTTGCAGGGATTTTTTTTTGATTATTTGCAGGATTTATTTTGATTAATTAATTGAATTAATTTGCTCTGTTTTGGGGGTCGTGCCAGGATCTCGATTTCGGGGGGGGGGTCGTACTTCTGCGACCACGTACTCGACACGATTTTCACCCTGGTCTCACGAGCGCGACATAAAACAATGAAGAGGAAAGGAGAACCACTTCAGGACTTGTCGGAAACGCTATAATCAAGGCCTTGACCTACTGTAACGTCGCATGTGGTACGATGGGGAGACAGGGCGCTCAAAGATGACAAAACACGCGAGAGATCACAAGTTGTGTTTGCCCTATCTGAGAGTGCCCGCTAATCTCTACACCAATCGAGGTGGGTAGGAACATTGCAACGGGGGCCGATGGTTGCAGACTCGCAAGAATTAGTGCCCCAGCCGCGCAATTTCTGTGACGAAGCTGAGTGGTCTAGGTAGGTACAGACCTTAAAATACCCCTCCGAGTCCCACCATGTCGGCCGGAATGCCTTCCAAAAGCAAAAATTTGGCTCTTCTTCGACAGGACAAAACGCCTACAGACAAAATGCTTTTCAGAATACAATCATGAAACTTCGTCATATCAGTGTTCAAAAGGAAATGATCAGAGTTTGGCTTCATATTGTAGTAAGCTCGGAAAATTTCACTCGGCGATCCACTTTCCAATCGGATTGTTTTCATAGAGTCCTTGAGAATCAATCATCCAACTTGCAACACGACATTCCCAAACAGCACTTACGCGCCGATTGCTACAGTCTTTTACGAGACTGTGCTCATCATACATCTATGCATACCCGCATCTTTCCATTAAAGCAAGAGGATCGAATGGGAGTTCATGTGATCGGGACATCAAAACATGCGATGAGAACGTTTATGGAGACAAAAAAAACAAAAGCGCATAGAAAACACTAGAAATTCCAGCCTGTGAGGCGGTCGGTCGCCGAGAGAAACACGCAAACCGAGGGGAAAATGTGAAATAGTGCCGCGCACACGAGAGGGCGAGACCAAGCATCCCATCCGTGGTTGATAAAGGTGGCAGCACGGCAGCACACAAAGCAAGGTCTTAGCGCTATTGCCTCGCAGATTTTCGCAACAGTGTCGGTCTCCTGCCCTTCAAAACCCCTCATCTAACTCTAGAAGGGACTGGCTACTGGGACTCAAATGAATCCTTCGCGGGTATTCTTGCATTCTTTCTCAATATGAATGTATAAGAGAAACAAACCTACAAAAACTACACTCTATGGACAGTCGAAGGTAATGGGCGGAGCCAAAGGCGGGCATGGAAAGAAGTCCGCCTTGGGCCGGCTACGTATCAGGCGACGCAATGAAAGAATCGGGTTAAAGCGTGCGATTTTGGAGAGTAGAGACAAATCGATCGATAGAATAGGATGCAGTAGAAGTGTGAGATGTGAATGCAATAAGTCAAAAGGCCAGAAAAAGTTTCCAGTAAACATGTAGTAGTGGCATCTGGTCCTTACCTGACTTGCCTGTTCCACGAGGGTGTCGGTATACTCGTGTCCCGAAGTTCAGGCAGGCTTCCCATTGCACCTATAGTAGTGCTATGGGCACCATTGCCGACTGGTGCAGGTAAGGTACCTGGATTCCACTCAAAGTCACCCAAGTTTTGAGAGGTTTTCCTTGGTTCCTCGTTAGAGGATCAGCAGTGCTAATTTTTCCTCGTGCTGCTATCTCTTTGAATGCAGGAAAGGGAATAGGGTTGCAGGAGTCCTTTTATACTGTAGTTTTTAATAGTTTCGTGAAGATAATAGGGCTACCGTCCTCATTGACTAACCACAGTGTTTTCTATTGTTAGTTTCTTTATAGGCGCGTCAACTGCACGCATGAATAAAAATAAATAAAATAAAATAAACCACTCGAGAACCAAGTGGAAGCATTCCCGTCGCCAGCATTTGTGACAGATGTCGGCGGTACTTTGAACGCGTAGCAGCCCTTTCGATTTTTCGAATTTTTTACCAAAACAAAAGCAATTTTCTGTTCTTTTCATTCTTATCGTGGATAATGAGTCTCAAGCCAGTGATTTATGGCTGAAATAGAATCATGATTTTTCCGTGAAGGATTC